ATCTTATCTGTTATCTCGGTATGCAGCGTTGATTATTTGGTGAAGCGAATGACACATCAATAATACTTGGTAATTTACAGATAACAGATAAGATTGTTCGAGATAAAGCAGTGGCTTACCGCCTCGGGGGAATTGCATAACTAGCCAATCACAAGCCTACCTTGGTGTTCAAGCAACGCGCTCCGCTCGCACTAGGCGCAACAACGACGTCCGGCTTGGTACGGCCTTGCACAGAGGCCGCTGATGATCGGCACCAACCCAACCGAAGGCAATGTTAAAATCAGTCTCGGCGGTGCGATGTCGACGTACGAAGGGTCAGTCGACAGGAGCTTCAGGCGCTCCATCCTCACCATTCAACTCAGGAATCACAGTCGCCCTTTCATGTGAGCTGCAGTTCAACTCTCGCAATCACCGCTTTGGCCTGAAAGCCACTGCAGCTGCAAGGGATCAGCTTTGGAACTGAATTTTTGATTCAGAGAGATGGTGTCGATATTGTCGGCCCGCTGGTTCGGAGAAGAAAGACCTCCGTTACCTCTTGGCACACATGTCATCGCGCCGCATATCGTCCTCGCTCTGCTACTCGCAGTCAAACCTCGACCCTATCTCTCACTCAGGCTTTCCGCATGGGTTGCTCTCACGGCCGCGCTATCGTACGCCACAAGAATCGATACCGGTGATGATTTCGACAATTGGAGCGTCGGCATACTGCTTATATGTCTATCGTTCACCGCATTCGTACTCCTCGTCTTATGGGACCCGGTCGTCGATTACCGGCATGAAAGCTGGCAGCCCGAGCAGTCTATGTCCCGCATGCCTTTCTGGAAGCGGACGTATTACTCTCGTGCATCGTTCTCAACCTCAGGGGCATTGGATGGAATTACCAGATTCCGCACCTTCCTCCGCGTCCGACCCATACCAGGCCCCAGTTCGTTGTGAGCCGGACTTTTCGAGTCGTCTGGTACATCTTCATTGCCGACATCGCTCAGACCTACATCGGCACCAACCCGCTTTTCAGTCTTTCGGGAGACACAGCCAGATCGATGAGGTCTCAAGGGCCACTTCTGATGCTGCCCAACGTGACAGCTTACATGGCGATTTCCTATTGTACCTTGAACATTTACTACGATGCAACTGCAATTTTCGCAGTTGCCTTCGGATTCTCAAGAGCGAAGGATTGGCCAGTAGTATTCGGTAGATGGAGAGAGGCGTACACCGTCCGGCGATTCTGGAGGTACGTCGCGTGTCTTGGCATCTTGAATCAACAGGCTTTAATTGTACGTTCTACTAGTCGTACTTGGCATAATACATTCCGTCGTGTCGGTGGCTTTTTTTCTACATTCATTAATTTCTTTCTGATTATCCTCTAGTTCGCATCAGCGATAGGCAAGGCAATAGCTCGGAACATGGGCTGCATGCCTGGATCACGGCTCTCCTCGCAAGTCCAACTCTTCATTGGTTTCGCACTGTCAGGCCTTGCCCACGTCCATGGCGATCTGATGCTACACCCGCAATGGGTGGGGTACTCGTTCCCATTCTTCATGTATCATGCCGCCTTCATCACTCTCGAAGATTGCATGATCTCGACAGGCAGACGCTTGGGCATTCGGGAAAGCTGGTGGACGAGAGGTGTGGGCCACGTCTGGACGTACGGATGGCTGATATATGCGCTTCCGTGGTTGAACGACTGGCACCTTCGTGCAGGTATGGGTACTCATCGTATCTTCAGGTTCTCGATCATCAGGCCTCTGCTAGAGTGGGTCGCTGCATCGTGGGGCGTCGACATCATTTCCTGGATTGCGTTGAAATGTGCCGTGTAACAGATATCGTGACGTAGAGCTTGAGTGTCATGCTTAGTTTCATTGCGCACAGCCTTGCACTATGCGAGCATAAAACCTGTTACTTCTAGTGTTCAGAGTGGCGCAACGGATCGATACTTTACGTGATATTGGCTCCTTCTAGGATTCAAGTGGAATTCTTCTCGTTTGCGCTGTACGGTTCGCTAACCATCGGGAGGACCATCGTAAGCTGTGTTGCTACAAATCTGAGAATGCAGAGGCATCTGTTCACTCACAATATCTACAGCTACAGGCGGCTCCGTCCACTTCGAAACCTCTTCGCCCGGGTAGAAGGTCTTCGCGATTATAAATCCGAATGAGTCGTGATATCATCGGTTGGCGATGTTGCTCGAGACGAGCCAGTTCGCGACGCATCGAATGTCTGCATACGATGCACGAATACCCGAATTGGACGTGATATAACCAGAAAAGAGCAGAGAACGCATAAAAGTTTCAACTGGCTGATGACTTTTTCAGAGCGGTTGCGGGGGCCCATGTGATGTAAGCGCTACAGCCCAGTGGCAAGGCCTATTACCGTAGATCTGAATCGTGAATGCCTCCTGGGGTGGCGATTCTGGTGAACTGAAACTCTTGACAAGTAAGACCGCTGATAATCATTCTTCACCCTAAGCTAACACGAAGTGCAGCTCGTTGTACAAGAGGTGTGGCTCTGAGCCATGAAGTTGCCGTTCTCACACCAGACGAATCTCTCCCTAAATCGCCGTTGTCGCCAGTTGAAGCCTGAATCTCATGACAAGTGGCCCGTTATCATATGTAGGCGAGCTGACGACAGCGCAGGTCGTCGCTGGCATTGTTCTCGTGCGGTTGCTCATGCACCATTTGCGCGCGAAGAACGTATGTCCTTGACTCCACTTCATGCCCCAGCCACGATATTAACAACTGCAACTCCGTCATATCCCGACTGAGGGCGGACCCTCTTTTCCAATTCTATCACTCATTGGGCTTTACAACCTCCTCACTCATGGAGCAGAGACCATGCAGCGGGGTTATCAGAAGGTGCGCCCGCTGAATCTTCCTATAGCGGGTATGCTCACTGTGTGACACTATAGCACAAAGGTAGGACTTTTAAGGTCGCCATGTGGATCGCTGGCTTGTTGTGCTCTCCGGTAAGAAGTTGGTCTATGAGCTACAGAAGATGCCGGACGACACAGTGTCATCCGCTGGGATGGAAGTGCGTGTCCTTGAGTTGAATTGGCACGGAATTGGCGTGATTCTGTTCCTTTCTTCGACGCCAGGTTTGCGATATACATCACGTATTCGACTTCGACTGGCATAGAGACCCCGTTCATGCGCCGATATTCCGAAAACTCACACATAATCTCTCATTCGTATTCGAAGACATGTTCGACGAGCTCAGCATAGCCTTCCGAGAGCAAATTCCCGCAAACAGCGACCGTGAGTGGGGATAGCCTGAGATGTGGGAATACTAAGATCGGCTGATATCTTTGCTAGGTTGACTTCCGGTCCATGCTTCTCTTGTAATGACTACAATTGTTACACGTGCTGCGAACCGCATGTTCGTCGGCGTGCCCACTTGTAGGTGCCAATGCGGGATTTGCATGAAATTGGCTCACTGATAGGCATTGCAATCGGGTTGGGATAGTGGCTATGTACACATGATGGTACACTTCGAAGAGGACGTAGGCAAAGCTGCGAGATTTCTCGCAATATTGCCCAGCTTTATGAAGCGCATCGCCGGAAGGAATGCCACAGTCATCGACAAACGCGTTCAACAGTGCCTCGATTACCTGCGGCCGGCAATTGACGACCGGATGGCCATGATGACTAGGTTTGGGAAGGACTGGGCAGACAGGCCAGTGTGTTACTTCAGCAGCGCATTTTTAGCCTTTTTCTGACCTAAGCACAGGATGATTTATTGCAGTGGACCATTGATGAAGTTGTGGCTCGCACTCAAGGGCCAGAAGAGGTCGCGCGCATGGTACTGTTCATCAACTTCGGGGCTATTTCTACGACCTCGGCCGTAAGTCCTCAGCATTATAGTGCCAGAAATAGTAATCAGATATATTTCAGGCCATAATCCGAGCCTTATACGACATCTCTGTGCATCCCGAGCTCGTTAACACGCTCCGGGAAGAGGTCACGGTCGAAGCTGCTGTGGCTGAAGAAGGCTGGACGAAAGTTGGCATCAACAAGATGCGCAAGCTCGACAGCTTCCTGCGCGAGTGCGAGCGGCACAACAGCCCCCTCGTTCCTCTCCCACTTGCTTCTTCCACTGCTGACAGCTCGTAGTGTCGATGTTCCGCAACATCTTGCAGCCGGTGACGCTCTCGGACGGGACATTCCTTCCCAAAGGCGCAACGGTCGTCACGCCGACGCTCGCGACACACTTCGACGAGGAGAACTATTCGAACGCGGCCCTGTTCGACCCGTTACGGTCTTACAAGAGTGACAAGTCTGTGCAGCCGCGGCTGACTATCACGTCCCCAGACTACGTAACGTTCGGGCATGGCAAGCACGCCTGGTATGTTGTCTCACTCTGTTCCACTCTTATGCAGTACCGTTGATGGCTGCGCGTACCAGCCCTGGCCGGTTCTTCACCTCCGACGAGCTTAAAGCTATGTTAGCATATATTGTCGTAAACCACAACGTTAAATCCGAGTACGAGGGCGTGCGCCCTGAGAACTTGCGGAGGGGCCTAACGAACTACCCGAACGATACCGCACGAGTGCTGTTCAGGAAGAGACAGGTCGGCTAGGGTAGAAAGTCCGTGTTCAGACGGTATCATCTTCTTTCGTCACGGTCGTTGGTATTTGTCAGGGCTGCAGAATCACAGTGCATGAGTCGCGTGATTGCTTAGTACGAGGGTCAATTATTGCTCCGAAGCATGGATTACTGTGATGCGCGACGTTGTAGACTTTTATTGAGAGCGAGAAATTTGTCTACAGCAGGTGTCTCTGATAATGTGGTTGAGACCTGCGGAGGCGAATCCGACAAATAGCCGCGGGTGCGAGGACCAAGACCCTAGTGTGTGGCGCCGGATGCATGCGATGAATGCGCCGATCCTGCTATATAGCCCCACGTTCCCCGTGCTGCAGCTGACGATCCTGGAACGACACATGTGGGTGCTTACCGCCAGAGCCGTCTGACGTTGCAAGCGTCCGTCCAGCGCCCGAAGGTGACAAGCTAGTGCCGGAGCTTGCTGGCCCGCTCAGCGGCAGCGACGGCCGAGAAGGCGTCGTAGACGATGTTAAGGCGGTAGTGGCACGTCGTGAGGTATACAATGCCGTTAAACATGAGCGGCCGCGGCTAACGCGATTGCAGGGCCCGCGCGGCGCCATTTGGTGCGGTGAATGTGGAGTCGAGATCCGTGTAAGCGTGGAAGATGTCCAGGAGCAGGACGAAGAACGCGCTGCCTATCACGATGCCGGTCATGTAGCTGACGAAGCCGTCGCCTGCATCGAGGCGCGTGTCTGCAGGGACCATGGCGGCGACCGCTACGCACTTGCAGAGGGATCGCGTAACGCAGCTCGCGCAGAGACAGGAGGCGTGGACGCGTCGCATCCGAGTCCGTTCCCGCGGAGCTGATTGCGCAGCCAACAGAATGCCGCGGCGTGGCGCTGAGGCCATGCCAGCTTGAATATCCATGGTTAGCAAAGCTGGAGGGTCGACTCGGGTGACTTGCCTGCAGGAGGCTTTGTCAAGAACATATCAAGGCTGTCTGGTTGAGGAGCTTCCATGCTGACAGGTCTGTTCACAATTACGAAAGGCGCACGATGCTTCGGTATCAGCACAAGTTGACCTCTTGCGGCGGAAACAAGTGCTGGAATGCGTGCGCAGTGATCGGGGTCCCTTCGCGCGCTCTAGTCAGGCGCCCTAGCCATTTCAGACGTGTTCTCGCCCTTCCGTGTGACGTCGGTGATCTCGCCGTGCTCGCAGAACACGCGCCGCAGGATCTCTTCCGACACAGGCCGGCCGAACTTGGTCGCGAAGATCGTCGGGTGGGAGGGCTGCAGTTCGGCCGGCGGCTCTGCGGGCCTGGCAAACTTGCGCAGACCCACGCTCGGCGCGGCAAAGGCTAGGCTGGGGGCACTGTCGTCGCCGAGTTCGAATGGGCGCGCACGGTGTGCGTCCACGACGAAGGATGCTGACTCGGCTGAGCGGAAGTCGACGAATGCGGTCCCGGGGTGCCGGCCGAAGCGAACGTTCACGACGACAGCGTATCGCTCAAAGAGCTCTGAGAGATCGGCGAGTGTTGCTTCTTGGGAGAGTCCAGTGATGTGGATGGTTGGAGACGCTATCATGGTGTCGAGAGAGCTTTTGAAGAACTCGGCCTTGACTGGAGCGTCCCTGACGGTGAGGCCGTCGAAGATAGAGGCGTCGAATGCCTTTGAGGCGTCGTCTGCAAGGTTAAATTCGATGTATGCTTGGTCGCTGTCAGCCTTGGATGAACCCTCGATGTCCTTGTCTGCGCCGGCTGAGCGAGTGTGGTGTAGAACATGAAGCAGTGGACGCACTCATTACGACGGCCTTGATAGGCCCGAACTTATCGAAGGCGGCGCGCACGTCGCGAGACGTGGTTCCGGATGAGAGCCCCTGGAGGTGCAAAACAGTCCTGGCCCTCAATGACTTGACCTCATCCTCGTCCTCTGGTTCCTTCCCTAGCTTCCTCCCCGGTCCAAATTGTACTGCCACCGAGCATGAGATATTGCGGGTGTGGGTAAGCAGACTGAGACTTTGAAGACTGCGCTGTGAATTCAGAATGTAGGTTCTAGAGGTAACATGGCAGCAAGTCTGCCAGCTGGGACAGATTTGTCGCAGAAACATGTGGCGAACCATCAGTGCGTGCGCACTTCCCATGCCGTCCCCGCGCGCGTGCCGCCGCTGACCAGCGCAGACTACTACGCCGACAGCCCCGCACGCAACGTCGCGTTCGTCGCGTTCGCGCGCGTCGAGAGCGCGTGCGCCGCCGTCGAAGCGTGGCAGAGCGGTGCGCTCGCGCCGCACTTCGGTGCCAGCCTCCGCATGGACTTCTTCCGCCCGCCCGCGGAGCACCCGCCGCACTACACGCTTCGCATCGAAGGCTACTCGGGCGGCACGCAGACGACGGAGCGCCTCGCGGCGCTCTTTGAGCCCTTCATCTGGAAAATTACTTACCGTGCGTGTCCCACCCCTCGCGCCCCCGCGCCTAGCCGCCATGCCCCACGCTAACCTGTTCGCTCTCCTCGCGTGCTCTCTATGAAACACCCTCCACGACACATACCCCACGGCGCACCCTCCACGACACATCCTGTCGCCCACCTCTCACCCTCCGCCGCCCACCAGCCCCCACCGCAGCGCGCCGCGGCAAAGGCAGCACGGTCGCCTTCCTCGAGTTTGCCACGCCCGCGCACGCCGCCGACGCCCGCGCGCGCCTCGCAGGCTACCGCGTGAACGGCACCGAGCGCGTCATCGCCGCGTACGCGCAGCAACCCAAGGGCTGGCTCGCCGCCGGCGGCCGGCGCGGGCGCGACCACGGCGGCGCGACGTTCGCGTTTGGGCTCGCTGCTCGCAGTGATGGTGGCGGTGATGCTGGTGCGAGTGGTAGTAGTGGCAGCAGCAGCACAGGCGCAAGCCACGCGCGGCTGGACGCCGAGACGCGGCTGTTCCGCGACGTGCAGCGGCGCAGCCAGTGGGCGCGCCTCGAACGCATCGCGCACTACCTTGGCCACGCCTGGACGCCCGACAACCGCGCGCAGGTGCGTGGGCTCGTGCGCGAGCTCGCACGCCGCCGCGTCGAGGGCGTGAGCCCCGCCGGTGCGGGCGTTGTCGCGGAACGCGAGGCTGCTGCTGGTGCCGTGGAGGTGGACGTGCCACCACATGTGCCGCACGTGGAGCCGGGGCCGGCGGGGGATGCTTTGGGGGGTCGAGTCTGAGCGGTCTATGCCGTGTTGTCGATTATCTGCACAAAAATATAGGAAAAGGTGCTACGCTCTGCTTGAGCTCTTTGTTGTCAGCGTACTGTGCGACAAGGAGGGAGACGCAACAGCCCTTGAGCCGACGCCTGACCAACAAGGATACCGAGGCTGAGAATGTAGCCGTGTCTGGCCTTGCAGTGCCAACCCGAATACTTCCTCTAGGTAAACGCTTTGTTCCTTCAGCACGAGATCTAAACAGTATGTGGGGCTCATCTCCTGAGTATACGGCGCACAACAGTGGAGTTGTCCATGAACGTCGGTTCTAGACACAAAAAGTTCTTAAGATAGACACTAGAGGCAAAGCGGACCAACTGCGTTCTGCTTTGGAGGATCACCCCGCCTATTCTGACGTTCGTAAGAGGAAAGGAAAATTCAGGTACCGCCTTTTAAAGGCTGTCAAGTGCGCATGAAGCGGAGCTTCTGGACGGACGAGATGGAGTGAGCTGTGCTGCAAAGGCGTCTTCGCACATCCTGAGCCGTAGGCTCGTAAAGATCTCTCGCGGTATGTATGCATACAGCTCGGGCATCTGATGTATTCACGGACGACGGAAGGGGGCAGCTGAGTCAAGCAGGATGTTGCAAATGCAGCTATTTATTGGAGGCATAGCTTTTGGTCGGACCAGTCAAGAAGCCGAGTAACTGCTTTCGCTCTTCGATGCAACGTATGGTGAGCGTGTGGTAGTCTCGGTTCCAGACACTCCGGCCCCGTTATCAATACTATAAGCCATATAATAAACGGAGTTTGAATTGGCGTGCAGAGACGGAAGATGTTCTGCAGCTCAATTGATAACAACTCGTTGACAGGTATTCATTCCCTTCCTTACTACGACTACTTAACATTACTTACTGACCGCACTGCGTGCGGTCTCTGCGAACACCTTCCAGAAGAGAGGGAACGAGACTAAGCGTGTGGAAGAATAACGGCCTTGAGATGCGTGTCCAGTAGCGACATACTAGGCTGCACATCATGCGCTGCCTTCTATTTGTGTGGCCTATGGCTGCATAGGTCATGAGTTCTGACGGCATCGGATACCGTGGGCATATGGGATCGTCAGACATACTTGGCGAGTCCAAGGTGGAAATCGCTCCGAAATAGATTCCAAGAATAATAAATGTGCGGCAAGTGTCAGCATATGTTCTCACGAAGACATACCACATTTGCCAGACAATTTGCCAAGGGGTGTTAGTGAAACTACGTGCTTAAAAATCGACTTTTAGTTTGCAGGATCAGTAGAGTCGGAGAGCGAACCGGCTCTTCGGCGCAAGCTGTATGGTTTCGACTCCATTCCGACTCCGCACCAACACAAGTAAAGATGACAAGCGCAAGTAGTTTCCTGCTATCATACTACATTATCAGACAACAACATATATCACCACGTAGTAATACCAGCGAGCGTCACAAAGATAGTCCATAGATCCTATCACGGTAGCAATAAATATTACAGAGTCCATTCCACAGTATCGGGGCAGTACCAATGCTCAGACGCGGCACTGGTCGATAATAGTTTGAGGGATGTCGAACTTCGCGGCCTTGGATGGCAGACTGTTGATCTGCATCAGCAGACCGATGGCCATATGCCAGGCAATATCTAACAGAGGTAGTCAGCAGACGTCGGGGCGTATTTTCGCGCAAGGACGTACGGCAGTGAAAGGTCCAGATTCCAGCTAGAGAGGTACAAGTCAGTCGTCATGCACCTTCCTGCTGGCAGCCGAACTTACGGTTGTCCGTAACGAAGCGTAGCAGGAGCCAGCCGGTGCCGGGGACGAAGTAAGTGTCGCGGCTGTATTAGAGGAGCCTTGTAAGGATAGGATATGGGACATCGGGCATGCATATCACTCACTACATCGGGTTCACGGTGTTGAGTCCAGTGCCGTCAAATATGCCCGTGTTGGAGCCCAGGCTAAAATCGCCGATATCAGCAAAACGTGCCAGCACGAAAATTATGAGAGCCCCACATGAACGGCGTATGGCCGTGAAAGTGGAACGGGTGCTCGCCGGGGCCGTCGTTCACCTAATGCAAATATCTCAGTCACACTGTATCTGAATACACTGCAGCAGTGTAGCTTACCAGCAAAAGATCAACGACCTCGATGGAGTCTTCAGTGATCATGAACTGATCGCCGAACTGCACGCTAGGGCCCTCCGGGGCGAAGGACTGGCCCTTCTGAGCAATCTGGGACAGAGTTGACGTATTTGTGAGCGGTTGCCAGCTCTGTCCTGCGCGTCAGCATTCGTGAGCTAAGAAGTGAGCGGCTTGCCCGCGTACCGTGCCGTTCATGAACGCAATCGCTCCACCATCAGTTGATATGGCGAGGGTGAAGTGGACGACGTAGGACCTAGTAGCCAGTGGTCAGCACGCCTGGACGCTCTTCCAGCGGGATGACGTACTTGGTACTGTTTGGCGGCGTCTTCACGATGGCCGGCACAAGTGTCGCGGTATCGAGGTCAGAGAGACCAGAACCCGGCACGCCAGGGTCTGTCGAAGCTGTCGGCAGGGACTTGCTGTTTCCGTATCTGATAATTCCACGAATGTCCGAGTTGCTACCCGGAAGGGTGCCTAAGGTAATGAGCTCAGCGCGCATCCAATAGTTTCCTTGGGGCTCTGCGGTCTGGTTCGTGGTGATAAGTACCGAATAGCGCTGCGCGACGCCGAGCGTGACGCCAGTGACGGTCTGGGGCTCGATGAGCGTACCGTCTGCCTCGATGACGGTTAGTGGGTGGTGGTCGACGGAGAAGCGGATTTCGGCCTCGGAGCCTTCGTTAATGAGGCGCAGGCGGTAACTGCGGGATGTGTTAGTGAAAAATTGTTATTAGCGTGCAAAACCTTACGTCTTGTTCGGCTTCAAGTCAAACTGTAAAGTGCCGTCAAACCACTGTAGATATGACACGCGATGTAGGAACTCACATTAAAGTAGTTGGTACTGCCATTGTATTGACCGATGCCGTTGATAACCTAGTAGATCATTAGGGCATCCACAGCAACAGCCGGCCAGCGACTTACACCACTGTCCGAGAACTGAACTTCAAGTGGCGACAGGGAGCCGGTACCCTAAGCGAGTTAATAATGTTGGCAAAGAGACTGTACGGAGTGACGCGCACCCCGGTAAGCTCCGCAGCAATGATGCCGCTGAAGGTGTGGTATACATCGGCCAGCTCAATAACGAGGTCTTCGTCCCAGGTAGGGAAGTGGGGAGGGTAGGACCGTGGGTGAACAATAAGCGCGCCTTCGATGCCGTCGGTGTACTCCGTACCATCTAGAAACCAAGGTTCATCAGGACTCTCAGGCACAAGCGACAAGGTACTCACAGTCTATTTGTCAGTGTCAAGAGTACTGTGTCATCAGTACGAAGAAGGAAAGAGGTTTAGCGCAGAGACGCACGGGCGCTGACAAGCCATGTGTCAGTCGAAGACCACTAAACCACGGGCATGCTGCACTCACTGCCACCAGGTCGTGCCTGAGAAAGTATCAACCAAGAAGCTAAAAATACCGCAAGCGTCAGAGAGGACAACGAACCAGAAACAAGGCACATACTCGTAAGTAAGCGACTCGCCGGTCGGGATACCACACTCCGTGATCGCTGCCGTGCCATCGTAGTAGTTTGTGCCGTTCTGAAGCTGGGACGGCAGGCGTGATAAGCCACTAGAATCATCAGTCACACAGCTCAAGTAACGTACTATGCCGTGCCAATGGATTGATCTTCAGAGCACAGCCCGTATGTCAGTTAATATCACTCAGGGCACAGGAAAGCGTCGCTCACGTCCTGTTCGACATCTGATTCGTGACCTTCACAACAAGCCGATCGCCTTGGTTAGCTTCGATAGTCGGACCAGGGAACACTCCTGAGATTATATCAGTCATCGCCTGAGCAGACCTGCGACGCGCACTGACCGTTTACGACGAGCATGTTCTTAGTGAAGCCATCGGGAGCACCCTTCATCTCGGAGACGACGAAATCGTAGTATCTCGTCGTCTGGGGCTGGCCAACAATGCTACCAACGACGAAGTTGCTAGCTCCCGGCACCGAGACAGTGTTGGCACGATGGGAAAGCTCAGAGGAGGCAGGGGACTCGTCTGGTAGAGTGCGAGCCTCTGCAACAGTGACGAGGGCAAGGACCATGGAGGCAATGATGAGCGGAATGCAGAGGGCAATGTAGCGCATTGTGGCTGCACGATGGGGGTGATTGGTAAGTGTGCTTTGGTGCATCTTGCTGCAAAAGTGGCGGAGCTGGCGGTGTGGAGGATACTGTCCTGAGCTTCGCGATATTTATACATCTTGGTTGGAGGTAAAATACTTACACGTGCAATTTCTAGCTTTTGGCATTTCCAGTGCGACGTGCCCCGGTCGCGTATAGCGGGAACATAGTTGCTCGAATGACTGCAATCGAAAGCGGATTTGGTTAGGTGTCGTGCTCGCAGAATGGTACCTGCACGCTCGAGACGACGTCCGATTGAGTTCCCCTTGTTTGACCCGTAAGGAAGAGTTTTCAGCGAGGTGTCATAATAAAGGCGCACTTTACAATATTGGAAAAGAAGGGCACGGCTAACGTGGCAGACGCGAGCTACAGAGGCTGAAACCAGCACCTGTTGGGACTGCATCGGTCATATTGCTACAGTCGACCTGTCCGGAGCACTCCATGCTGGAGTGCACAGTGCTATAGTCGGGTTGGCAGAGTATTTTTGGACATTGCACTGCCGTACGGGCAGTGTCGTGAAGACACGGAGGTCAGTCGGGACTGTCAGCGAACCGTCATATTGATGGCGTAGAGGATCGTGCCATGCTCTCAGAAACGCTGTAAAGTTATTCCACGGCGGATTGCTGAGCCCGCTGGCGAGCAAGGAGCATTGTCTATAGCGCGATCGAGCTACCGTCATGCGTAGGGCAATCGTGGACAGTCAAGGAGCGATGATGCGGGTTGCTCTAGACATTGCATGAGTGAGATGGCGATAAGCGTTCGTTCCGCTTACCCTTTCGAGTCATCGATGGTCCTAGGGCACCTGCGTGCCTGTGTGGCGCAACAGTACTGTCAGGCGGTTCCGTTATTGGAGTGTTGCCAAGTTATCGCTCTGTCAACTTCTACGTCAGTAGGAGCAGCATAGGATGCTCAGTATCAAAGCTAATATATTTGGCGCGCACAGTCATTTCATTTTGTGTCAAGTTACAGCAGCCCGTACGACGTTCCAGGCGGGCTATAGTCGCAGCGTCAGGGGGCCAAAGGAAGCTGCCTCTCCACTGGCAGGGCCACCGCGGCAATTTATCCCCGTGAATTCCGAGGTAGGACTAGTAGGCGGCTCGCTCCTAGTCTAATACGACCATTTCAGGCTTCACGACTGATGTGGTAGAGTTCAAGCTGCGTTTGGAGGTCTATTCGCCGTCCTGATCCCACGGAGGGGTACGTGCCATGACTGATGATAAGAGGGGGCGCCTCTTGGGCCCTATATGGCAAGCGGATACTACTTAAACTCCAGTCGAACGGGGACTGTAGTCATGAAGAATACAAAGCCACCCAGTCCCACGGAATACTCAGCGTAAAGGCATGGGAGCGTCCATGATGGCCCCTCAGCGTTTCAGACGTGATAAAGTAGTAAGATCAGAGTCGAGGCCACATGATGTGAAATCCAGCACTGGTTGTTATTGGGCTCGGAACCGCCCCATCATGTGCACTGCGAGCGCAATGCACGTATATAGAAGCCTACGAGTATTTGTGCGCACGCTGATACCTGCAGAGGGTTGCGGCTCCGTTGTTATGGAGGGTGCCTGGAAAACGCGCACGGAGCTCGCAAAAACGCTCTCGACCCGTGTTTGAGCCACAGCATATAAGTAAACTGGCGCTGAGCCCACATCATGTGGCGTGGCGGTAGAGTTCGACGCACCAGAGTTCGGTACCAGCGTAGGTCGTTCACTGGTCTGGCCTGTGGTAGGTGGAAATGAGCGGGTACCTGGCAAATATACAGTTAGCTACTTAACAGGAGTAGGCTTGTAGGATATATTTCCGGAATACAGGCTACCATGAGCCTCGCGATGACATGCAGTCTTTGTGTAGTCGCAGAATGCTTACAGCGTTATCCGACAGTAACCCGAGGACAGGAAAGAAAGAAAGAAAGAAGCTTGATAAGCGCCTATCATCGATTAGATCGGGACCCCCCGAGCTGTATGACAAAGCAGCCTGGCAGCCCAAGTGGTCGTCGTCATCTAGCACGACAGATATCCCTGGTAGATTCAAAGGAATGTTTGAGCATACGCTATATAAGAAGAACGTGCAGCCAAAAATGCGTTTCCGGTGCCGGCACCGCTTTCTCGAGGGGGCCCCGGTGACCTCTATTGAAATTACTGTATAGCATATTATATGTCTAACATTAATTTCAAAGATATTCGAAGAAAATAAACACAAGAAAGTCGAGGAAAATACGCCGACTTCGGACTACCTCAGTGTATCCGCCGAGTCGTTTAAGAGCTTATCATAGGGACGTGGTCTTGACGTGCCTTCTCTTTCCCCCTCCGCCCACTGTCAAGATTTTTTGCAAAATGCTGTCATAGCAGCAGCGCCGGTGTATATAACTGTAGGGAACATTTGACTGACAGGATTACACACGTCTACGGACGTTCGTTGTCATATCAGAATATATCTCTAGGACATGTCATGGCAAGTAGCCAGCGTAATCGCCCCATGCCTTTCAGCTGAAGACCAAATCACGTCACCTTTTTCGGAGTATAGCGCGTCAGATCCTTTGCGTCCTTGAGCAGATATCAGTAGTACCAGTATTGTGCTATGAGCCTCAGAGAACGTATGCTACCTCGATCGGAGAACCTGCTGACAGCCTGAGGACCGTCGAAGCAATGGTAACCCCTGACAAGCTGAAATGCAGACAAGCTGTTTACGTTATGGGTTGGCCGGCTTCTCACAACGCCGAAGATGCATGCAAACTGAAAGATTACGGCTGTGTCATCTACGTAGAGCGATGTCAGTAACATTCCGTGCGCGAGATCGGGCACCGACAGCTATTACTGCATTACGACAGGTGCTGTCGACGTTGTGCGGAGCATTCCGTGCGCTCCCGACGCCTGCCACGTACGCACTAGCAGAGTTGCCTCGGATCTAAACCAAGATTGGCGAACCCGCGGCGCGGAAGGCAGGGATCATTGGCGCTCAGTGACCTTCGCCACTGGAGACGGCGCGATCAGTGATGCACATACGCGCGGTTTTTCGTACAAACGTACCGTCGGAGACACGAATATACGACATAAATACGACGGGCCTAAAAGGCCCACTGGCACGGTGATTCTCACAGGGTGACGGACATTCTTCAGCCAATCTAGAGTGGCATACCTGCCGTGTCGGGCTACCTCGTAACAGCGCAATGCTCAAAGTTCCTCAAAAGCTATGCGCTTTTGATGTGAACGCACAATGAGATAAGCACCTCTGTGATTATCTGCGCCAATTCCACACGCATACCACATTCAATAGGTGAGGTGAGATCATGATGGTACTTGAAAATCAAATCGCCCAGAGGTGAGGCCGCTCGCTCGCGCTCGAAGGGCGTCGAAACTGACATCTCAGCACCAAGAGACACTTTTGATTCCTCGAGGCGTGTCACAGGTGCAGATGCTGCCACCGTCGCTGCCCTTCGCTGCTTCGGCACCTCCTTGTAAGCCCCACCGGCCGCCACGCCAACCCTCAGGCTCGTCCTCACGCAATCCCCGCCTACTTCGTTGCAGAAAATCTAAGAACACACACTCTCAGACCCAATTTCTGATGCTACACCTGAGATTGAAGCGTTCAGCACACTAGGCTCCGTCTACGTCTCTGCTGCTGCGGAAGTGCATGATCGTGAAGTAGGGGGTGCTCACAATTTTTCATGTAGATTATCAGGTCCTGGTTACCGTCGCCTTGTTCGATATGTGCAATCCTCAAACGAGGCGTCAACTCATTGACATGATGCGCTGAATATTGGCAAAATGTGCGTGAGTTACGTTGAACACTTCTCAGCATTCGGCCCCGATGTCTAGTAAGTGGGTGCATCAGGAACGTATCCAAAAGTCTTGACGTCGCCTGTGCATCTTGAGTTCGGACCGACATGCACTGGGTGCCTGGCAGGTCCCAACAACGCACAGGCAAGCCAAGGCGTGTCATTTTAGTCTATGACACCTTCAACGCCCGAACGTCTTCCTGATGCCACTAGCGGCTCCGAGAGCGCGTCACGTCAAATACGGGGCGTGTTGGGGCGTGGGCTAGCGGACCTGAGGCCGTGAGACACGATTAGATTCTGCGGTCCTAATTGGTTAGACCACATACGACATCAGAGCATCCCGACGAAAACTTACTTCGTGATATACGCCGTCCTTCCTAGGACACAAGCTCGTCCGCGCCTAGGCGTCCAGAGAGCCGCTAGAGGACTCCGGCGACAACCACCAGACCCCGAACACCTCTAAGCGCACACAGGGAGGCACAGGCAATCCTGGCGTTAGCGGGGTTGCCCTCGGTGAGCGTTCTGTACCGCTCATATGCATGCATGCCAGCTTCTCCCAGATTTAAAGTTACGGGTGCTGCAGGGCAAACTCTATCTCCGATAGCACCCTTTTATATATATATATAATCTAAATAAAATAAAATAAAAAAACAGCCAAGTCTTGCAATAAAACCACTCGCCGGTTACGAACGGTGATGTACTCAACTCTGGCCATAAGGGATGGCAGCGGATGTGTTGACATGTATGGTAGGACCCATGTGTTATTTAAGTGCGCTGGAGCAGAGAAAACTGTCTGTTCGTATGCACATAAATGAGATGAACAGGCCGGCCCTGAGTGTTAAGGCCTGACGTCTATGAGTGCTTTATGGTTCGAATCATCTAGTTGATCGATTACAATTGGTAAACACACACAAGCATATTACATTTTGAGGTAGGAAGGGCACTTACAACGTCTATTGAGACAGGTGATTCTTTCCAAGCAGGATTCTCAGCTCCAAGCGTTATTGCACGCAACACGACGAAGCCCATTTTCTGATAGAAACCTGTGTCTTTGGAGTTGGTGGATAAAACGCTTAGAGGGCAATTCTGCGCGTCAGCCTAATGGTAACACAACTGAGTAACTTCTTGTGGCATATCGAGAAGTATAGCCATACCAAAGCTGCACCGCAGCTTACCAGCTCCCGCCTCCCTTTATTGCATGCAGATGAATTTGCGACAAGCGCAGCGATACTCATTGGTCGCCCAGTGTGGAAGCTTCCAGAAGATGCGAAGAACTTGTCGCTAAATTCCTGGCGCCTCTGCCGGGATCAATCGGCTGGCCGTCAGTCTATACAGAGCGCGTCGCTCCATCCAGACATACCTTTCTCTGTTCAGGAGTAGCGAAGCTGTCGAGAGCCTTGCTCAGCCATGGGTAGAGCGCGTCCATGGTGTCGTGCAGCGGACGCTTCTTCTCCGAGGGGACGGCGTTGAACCTGTCAATATACTCATCGCCAGGCTGAGGCCATGACAGTCGGGAGTACGTACATCATCATATATGCTCGAGCACTGTCATGGCACACCGTCCATGCGCATCTCTGGTATACAGCCTTGCACCAAGCCATGGAGTAATGCATCTTTCTTGTAATTTCCGCGCGTCTTTTGGCCAAGCCGACGTTGTCCTAGATGGCAGACTTCTAGCTAATTCCAAATGGCGCAAAGCGTGCCGAGTAAGGTGCCTACCGGCGTGTCCACGAGGTAGTGCTGTAGCGGATCGCTTGTGTTTGACAGAAAGCTAATATCTGCGGCAGCTCGTGCATCTTCTACACAAATGAATGTTCGTCAGTAGTTGGAGCAAGATGATAAAAGGAGCAGTACCATAATACATCAACGTCGGCTCGTCGTCCTCGACATCGGTTTCGCGAATAGTTGTCGAGAGCTCCTTATTCTCCATCCCTTCTTGCGCCATGCGTCCTCAGAAGGGTACAGTGGTAGCCTGTGAGAGCCGCGTTGACCTGCCTACATAAGGGCTGCGGCTCCGAAAGCTAAGGTAGGGGTCGCCAGGGACGGGCACTCTTACGTAAGCGCCGTCACGTGATCGCGGGAAGCGCAAAATCCGAGGGATTTCGCTTGCCCGTACCAAGTTGAAGGTTGAGGGTAGGCTGAGAAATGTCCTAGCAGGTTGCAGTAGAGTAACTATAACTTGGTTTTGATTTATATTTGCCACTTCATTCAGAGAAGTCACTCGAGGCCAATTCCCAAGGGGCAGGAACTAAGCGCCAGTGGGCAGGCGGGGTGTTGCCCAATATGGAGCTTATACGCATCAGCGCTCTCGCGTGGTAAATCACATGACTAAAGGCGCTTGCGCAAAATTCGACCTCTCGTTAACACAAAATCTTGCCAATTTGGCTGGTTTGGCTGAAAAATGTGTTTTCTGCTGAGACCACTTTTTCCCTAATAACTCGATGACAACGCCATTTACAAAGGTTCTGCTGAATAGGAATTGTAGCCAGAGCCTCTTCTGACATTTCTTACTGAGCAGTTTTACCAAAGGAGGGGTGCGCCCGTCGCCATTAAGGCCGTCGTTGTCGGCCGGCGTCTGCTTACATAAGGGATGCCCGTTCCTGGCGACCTCTACCTTAGGGCCAAGCTCAAGACTTCACAGGATTTAGGTTGTGGGAATCAGATCAAAACTGAAGTACTGAAGGGAAGAAAGAGAGCGAACTGCATGTGACACAGTAAACTCACAACGGCAAGGCGCAAACAGTACGCAGCACTTTCGCTATCCTGTTATTATGCCGTTGTATTGAGGTAAAAATACTGCGGTGGTTACGATAAATCGAAATGGATGCATTCAGATCACATCGGGCGATCACCGATTCGATACACCGCAGCCCGGGCAGCATGGACGGCGCTTGCTCCTCTTTCGCGACCGTCACGGAGGATACAGTGCCTTATCAATATATCGTCTATAACAAAACGCAGTCAAACAATTCTGCGCTTCACGGTTTATTTCAGTATGAATCTTGCACGTATGCACCGGTTTACAGTCGCAGCGGCAGTTCGCGATAGCTTCCAAATGTCATTGTCTTCGGATGCCATTTACAAGTACCGCTTTCCTCGCGCAACTTCATTGGTCATCAGAACGCGGGAAGAAGCCTGTGCGCTGAGGAGTGGTGTTCCCGAAGTTCCGAGATGTCATAAAAAGCTGTAATACGCAGCATCCCAATCGACGTGTCCCCAACTTCTTCGAGCACACAGTGAGTATCGCTGCTACGAGGGTCACCCTTGCGACATAGGAAGAGCTAAAGAATTGTGCAGACATGTCGCTTGACCCAGAGTCACGCTTGCTGGTACCAGTGCTGGCGGCGAGTTGCCAGGATGGCCCCCTCCATTCCCAGATTGCAGCCTTAATTAGCGCGCTATGCTTGAGAATGCGGTCGGGATTTGACGAGGCTACGTGGGATTTACTCGCGCAAGCTATGGCATTGCTGGAGCTACAAGGCTTTTCTGCTGTGCCAGCAACCACGTTAAAGCTGACAGGTGAGCAAACATATCGCGTGATTTAGAGGTGTTCCAACGTCGCTCGACTAGATATCGGCAAATACAACTTCAGTGTCGTCGGGCAGGAACCAGACATCCCAGGCGCACGCTACTTCTTCGCATTGAGCCTGCCGGCATCCCCTGACGATAGCTCTCTATACTTCGAGCTAGAATATCTTTCCGACCTCGACGTACCGAAGATCACGCCGTGGACAGAATTTGAAGAGTGCCTGCTCAAGCTCGCTCCTATTCCCCAGCTGTACATCCGCTTGTACGACAGAAACGCCTTCAAGTGGTTCCTACGCTCAGTCCTGGACGGAAAAATCCTTTGTCGAATCCTGGCTGCAGGGCAAGAGACGCTGCTGCTCGCGTTTGGACACGCCGAGGCCGGATCGCCCGACGAAGACGGTTATTGTGATGTTATGCTGCGCAAAGACAATGATATCACGATGCATGACATCCTCTCTGCTCCCCGCCAATACGTAGTCGATGGGCACGAAGTTCACTTGGACGACCCCGTTCAGCGGTTGGAGTACATGTCGAGTCCTAATCCACGCTCCAAGCTCATATACTTGCGGCGCATCCTGGCTGCAGATCTTGACATGTCGTCCCGCGCATTCGCTCAAGATCTGCCAGCGGAGGTCGTCCACGGTATTCTCGATGCCTCCCGCCAAGAAGAAGTCTGGGACGTCCTAGAGAGGCCTAGCAAGAAGGGTCTCGTCTCACTCAGTCTCACTTGTTATTACTGGGCAACTCTCATTCGGCGATCGTTGTTTGCGTCCTTGACATTACGCGGTCGCGAAGACCTCCTTCAGTTGGTAGAATTCTTGCATGGTCCAGAGGTCTTGCCTATTCCTCTGAAGGCGTGTATCCACCGAATTGAAGTAATCCAGGACAACCCTCGCGAGATCCCATGGCTGCATCTCCTAGCAAAGCTACCGTACATGCCAGAGGGCGTTGGGAACGCTGTTATCATCAAAGACTTCGAAATTGTTCCTTCGGCACCCGATTCATCGGCTAGCGAGACTCCGAAGCCCTACAATCTTCCCCTTACTTCGCTACCACGAACTATTCCTGGATCTATATTCAACACCCACCGGCTTCTTCTCTGCGACCTGCGTCTACGGCGGCATATGGACCTCGCGCGGTTTGTCGATGGTTTGCCAAGGTTGTGGACGTGCGAGCTCACTCGGATTACCTTTGTGGAAAAGGGTGGTTCGATGGAGCGACCGCACAGACGTCGGTTCAATCCACTCTTCGAGCTGCGTTGGGTCCGAGCAAGCGACTGCGAGGACCGGAGCCTGCAATCCCAGATTTTGCTGCCTTCCGGCGTGTTGCGGGTGCGGGCTCGTCTGTGGATTGACAGACAATCTTGGGTGCTGGCTGCCAAGGCCATCGCCGCGCTGGAGCCTCCGGGCTTCGTTGCTCTCCCCACGATTTTGACGGAGATAAGTGAGTGCGGCTGTTTCGCATCGCACCAGTCTAACACCTCTTAGCTAGGCGCCTCGGGCTATGATTTTAACGTCATGGGCCGAGCGAGTGGAGTATCTCAAGGGGAGCACGTCTACTCTGTGTCGCTGAAGGGTTCTTGGTCGGGCGACCCGTACTACGTCGCACAATTCACTGCCAACTACTTGAAATGCGACGTCGATATGATGCAAGCGACGCCCTGGAACGTTGTCGAAGATACGCTGCTCAAGCTCTCCCATGTCCCCGGAGTCTGCATTCGCCTGCACGACAAGGAAGCCTTCAAGTGGCTTATGCGCTCTATCTTGGACCGCAGCGTTTTTGCGCGCATCATTGCCGCGGGGCAGACTATGCCGTTGATTGGGTACAAACGCCACCAAGGCTTGTCTCCGAACGGAAGCCGACATTGGAAAGTAGTCATCGACAAAAACGATCGGGAGGATCTCAAGATGGACGGCATGCTTTCCGCGCCGACTGAGTACTTCCTTGACAACTACCCCGTGCGTCTGGAAAACCCCCTGCAGCGCTTTGAATACCTGAGTTGCCGTGATACTTCGGAGAAAGAGGCATATCTGCGGGACGTGCTAAGAGAGATTGGCGAGGACACCTGAGCATCAGTCTCTGCCTATGTTGAACGAGTATCCAAAGATTATATAATGAGAGCAATTTGCGGCTGTAACAAGTCTCATCCCTGCTCAAAATATCTGTTAGAAATTAGTGACCCACTGGTACTCCCACTGGGGCGGGCGCAATGATGACGCCCGTTTTCTGCCTCCACGCCCACGTGATCCCGGTTCGTCCCATGAGCGCGCGACGCGCGTTGAGTGGTCTCGCTCATCCCAAAAAAGGTCATATTTTCAAACTCAGCCAGGTCGCGCTTGGTCGTAAGACTGCCCGCTAAACACAGTCCACCTTGAACTTCCCCTCATTTTTCATAATATCCTCATCGCTATCATGAACGGCACTGGTTCAGGGGAGGCCGGTGTGCTGGCATGGTGCAACTCGATACGCTTCAGCACGGCAAAGGATGCGGGGAGAGAATTCCTCGACACCCAGATTCAGAAACAAGGCTTCGACTTTCTCGAGAGCTATCTCGACGGCGTGTTTTCACGCGCAAAAGAAGAGTATGTCATCAACTGGCCACACGCTGACGTGCTGAAAGCTAAGACCATGCCGTAGGCCCATGTACGAGCTCCTGAAAACACCGGGGAAGAAGAGGGATGTGCCAAAGAGGACGAGAGCAGCTACCGCGGCGGTTGCAAAGCTGAAGGCAATCAACAGCATGGCGTTTGAGGTGTGTACTAAATTGCTTCTCGGTTATGCCACAATTCGACATGACCAAGTACGCGTTCTGCAGGACATGGAACTTGAGCCTTCCTCCCAACGGATAGAAGTATCTCAAGAGACGGATATATTTTCGGTATCCGCGCACATAGGAGATTTCCACAGCAAAGAAGCCGTTCCTATTACAAAGACGAGGTCGCAGAAAGTCGTAACAATTGCGGATAGCCCGGAGAAAATGGAAGTAGACGACCAGCCCCTGCAAACCGTCCATGAGGAAGATATACCCATGTTACCTTCGCCAACAACACAACTTGCTCCGAATGATCATACCCCAATACCACCTGTCACACTTGAACCAGAGCCTGCTACGCATAGTTCGCAATTCCTGAGCACTGAGCGCGATGTTGCAGAAGTCGCGCCGGCGCTCCAGCGGATTTCGAAACCACTTGCGCCGGCGGCCCTTGTCGAGGAGGGCCCACAGGCCTTCGCAGCACCTCAAACGATTGGTGCCGCGACATCACGCGAGCCGCCGCCCGCGATATTGGATAGTGCGCTAACCCACCCTGGCCCAGCCAAAGAGCTATCCATGATCGCTGAAGACGAGGAGCCAGGCGAACAGTCCCGTCTGTCACCCGTTCGCCCCGCTGATGAGTCAATTGCAGAGCAAGACGAAGACGATGCCGTGCCCGTCCGAGAGGTGCCGTTCGAACCTATGGACCAGGACTTAACGGTCCCATTACGAGATGCACCTGGCCCATCGCTCAAGCGCAAACCTAGTGTCACTCAGTTCTCTGGTCTCCCTGCTCCCTCTCCTCTGCGCAAATCAATGCGCATGTCTCACGAACCTACTGGTCCCTCGCTAGCGCATACCCCTGGTGCAGGTCTCGGAAAACGGACGTCTTGGCTCTCGAAAGCAAAGGAGGCGAAAGCTTTAGAGATGACGGGGCCTGGCAGGCGCATCGGGTCGAGAGGAGACAGTACCGCAGCTTCGGGTACACTGGCTCCTGGCCCTTCAGGATTTGCAGCCAATGACACGAAGGACAGACAAAAGAGCGGCGAGACATTTATGTCCACTTTTCCGAATAATGAGCCTGTTGCGACGGAAGAGAAGGGGACGCAGGAGATTGCTACGACAGAATCTAGCGCCCTCGCCTTCCTGCGCCAGAAGCGCAACGCATCGTCACTCGAGAACGCTATCGCACAAGCTCAACAGCCAGAACCTCTTCAGTCTGCCCCTGTCGCACTGACGCCGTCCCACTCGAACTACTATGATCCGTTGGACGACATGACGGTGCCAATCACGGATCATGACTCAGAAGAACACACCTTGCATCGGCTCAAGAAGACTGTTGAGGGCGCACGGGCCGGGAAAGGCACGGGCAAGTCACTCGGAGGGAACGCAGCAGCAGAGCTCGCTGAAGCCAGGAAAGCGGCCGAAGCGCGGGTTGCGCAACGAAACAAGACTGAAGAGCCTGAGGAGGCTGCTGAACCGGCAGCAGACATGGAAACAGAGAAGATGAATGTCGAAGAGCCCATGAATACGAAATATGTTCGCCAGTCTGCCGAGTCTGTGCATAACGCGAAGAAGGCTTTGCCCCCGCCAGTGCAGGAGGACCCTAGCAGACGCATGAGCGTATCTGACCTGATGACCGACCTCGACAAGGCGCAGGCGGCCAAAAAAGTGAGCCCACCGGCTGTGAGAGGAAGATCGCAGACCGCGAACCTCAGCACGTCGACGACTCCGCCACACTCGCCGCCGCCCGCGTTGAGTAAAGGCACGGCAGCTCCGACAAAGGCTACGAACTCTACCGTCTTCTCCAAGCCGCCAACTGTCTTCGCTGCGCCGCCGAAACAGCCAAGCTCCCAGCCTACACGACACTCGCCCCCTGCGTCGGCTGCTACATTGGGACCAGACAAGGGGCCAGTATTCAAGGAGAGCGGGTTCAAGCTGCCTGTGGTGAATCCATTCTCTCTCCCTGCTGCGATGACGCTTGGCGTTCCCGCACGGTTGCCCAGCCCCGATCAGTCCTCTACCGGGTCCTCATCGAAGAAAAATGCCGCGCCGAGCACTACCACGGCATGGCTGGACACACAGCAGGACGACGATTTTGCGCTCCGCCCCGGCGGGTCCCAGCAGCAACAGCGGACGCAAGCACAGGAGAGCGACGACGACATGTTTGAGGACAGCTGGCAGGCCGAGGCGCAGTACCAGGTAGGGCAGGCGTGGACGCCGTTTGGCCTCGCAAACGCAAACACGCCACAGGACGATACGATAACGTGGAGCTCGCTCCCGAGCCGCAGTACCAGCCAGAAAGGCGGCGACACGGTCGACAGCCTCGGCCTCGGGCCCCAGGAGGCTGATAGGGCGACGAGCGAGGCCGCAACGGAGGGCCGTGAAAAGGAGAGTGAAGTGAGGCGGGGGAAGGGTACGGAAGACCTCGACTCGGACCTTGACACAGCGCAGGACGAGGTCAGAGAGGACCTGCAAGTCGATGATATGGAGGTCGATGACGAGTACATTGCTGGTGCAGACACCGAATTCGAGGAGATTGTTGCATCTGGCAAGCCTACCGTCACTCTCGTCAAGGTACGTATACGGTTTGGCTGAGTATTGGCCGATCCTGAACGAGTATTCCACAACAGTCATCCCGCGCACCGAGCCAGCTGTCGATGGCCTCGACGTCATCCTCCCAGTCGCAACTCGGCATCTTTGGTCAAGCGAGCCGGTTCGTCAGCAGCATGCTGGGCACGAGCAAGACCATGAAGACGAAGCCGGAGCCGGTCAAGAGCATCGCGCGGGCAGCTGCCGCGGCAAGGAAGGTAATTCTGGACCTTTACTACAGTATGAGACCTACTGATGTCTGGTTTAGCAACAGGAGGAGGCAGAGAAAAAGGTCGCGAGGCTGAGAGAGATGGAAGTTCGCAGGCAGCAGGCGCAACAGCGTAAGGCTGAAGAGGAGAAGGCACGAGCGCAAGAGGAAGAGAAGAAGGCCAAGGAGGAGGCGGACCGGCGGAAGCGCGAACGAGAGGAGCACACAGACAAACGTCCCCTTAAGCCCACGAAAAAGGCGAGTCTGATGGCGTTCACTTGATACACGAGTGCTTATTCCTTTCCACAGCAGGCCGAGGACGACAACACGCAGAAGCGCAAGATCAATGCGGAGGCAGAAAAGAAGACAGGGCCCTCGAAGCCACCGTCGAAGGACGCGCAATCTTCTCGCACATTCAAGCCACCCTCTGCATCGGCGAACGCACCGGCTTCGACGACCAAGACTGGTCCCTCGCTCAAGTCCGCTCTGTCAAAGCAGGCGTCGACAACGTCGCTCACTGCAGCGGCATCATCGTCCAATATCCCCAAGGGCCAGTCAACAGAAAGCAAAACCACCAAGATGGCTACATCAACGAGCTCGAAGTCCGCCGCTGGCAAGGGCAAAGGCAAAGCACAAGACAGCGACGAACCACAGCCGTCGCGGGTCGTGCAGAGCCAGATGGCAAACCGCGCCAAAGCTCAGATGGCGGCCCAGCAGACACCGAAGCAGGCAGCGCCGGTCGCGAGCGAGAGCATCGAGCTGCCCGATATCAACAGCGAGTACTCAGACTCGGAGGACGAAAGTCGGCCGCGGTTCGACGCGCCCGAGTGGGCACAAAGCCCTGAGCTCCGGCAACAGCTCGAGCAGCAGAGCCGGATGAACCCCGACGACATCTTTGGGCGCATCGGGCCGCTGCGCATGGAGGAGATCTTCCGTACGCGCCAGAGCCGCTTCCGCGCGAGGACGAGCTCGGCGAATTGGGCGGGTGCGGATCAGCTCACGGCCGAGGAAGAGCGCGAGTACGCGAGGCGGATGGGCTTCCAGTAGCCTCAGTGACGTTCATTGTTTGGTCGTTGGCACGTTGTATAACCGGACCCTTACCTCAGATTCGTGTAATGTCATCATACGGCGTGATGCACAAAATCGTCCCTCCTGCTCTTCAGGCATTGAACCGTATTGCGCACGAGCAGTGCTTGCTCGCGAGCTGCATGAAAGGCATGACGCTCAGGACCACGATAACATATTCTGGCGTATGCATACAGACTTGCAACTTAAGGTAAGTAAATCAGGCGCCTTCAAGCAGCAGGCCAGGTTGAAGCTTGAGTCGTAAGTAGGCCACCAGCAAGTAATGCAGCTCCCAGCGGCCGCAATGTTGACTTACAGGCGTTTAATGTGCGCGCTGCTTACATATACTGATCCTCAACATCATACATCCGAAGCCCGATTGTATCTTAGACAAGTCGCAGCGCGTAATTATATACTTGCCTGGAAGATAGCGAACGCTGACGAGTCTGCCATCTCTCAGCGACGTAGACAACGGCAACGATCGTATTTTTCAAAAGCTAATTCTACCGCATACACGATACACGCTTGTCTTCATGTCTCTATACTATACTTTGAGACCGCCATATAGCGAGTTTGGGGCATCACAAGACACACTGCGCGGTGTCACAGGGGAAAAGGAAGTTGAAAATTGGGTCTGCATATCGGTGGCACGCAAGGAGATCGTTCCTCGACTCATGCAGTACAGTGCGTCTTAGTGCTTTTTGGTATGCATCGAATGATGGGATTGACACGGCTCGCTATAGGAGATCTGCGTAAGGCTTATGAAACTACAGAGTCTTGCCCACGACCCATTTATTCGGTATTTATTTGAGACTCCCGTAAGACCTCCAAAACTGTTAAACTCTATCCATCCAAAGTTATATACTGACCAAGAAGCCAGGATAATCACAAGAGCACTAAACGCTGGAAGTTCGGTCACAAGGTAACGACTTATGTCCACCTGGCCAAGCTTGTCTACGATAAAACTGGCTGGACTATCAATCACGGAGAATCCTGCGTGGATCTGTGAGTGCGGCATGTACACAATTGGGCTATATTTTCCTGAGCAGTTACTACCCGACTGTCTTCGTTTGGTCAGAGGCGACCCGACGCGTAAGAAACGTCCCCTCGACAAAGTCGTCAACTTTCTTTATGTCCAGCTCACTCAAGGTATTCGTGGGCTCACGGAATCGAAGGAGCAGCGGAAGGTTTGTGCCCGCAGTTCCATTTGACTGTAGAGCCTGATTTGAAGCCAGTGCGTCGCCGAGTTGACGAGCAAAGGTGGGTGTGCATTGAAGGAAGCCCTGGGCGACGAAATCTCGCGTATGTTCGAGGTTAGCAGCCTCTCGACTATTCCAGAACGCCAGGGACGTGGGTATGCCACCGCACTCGTGCACCTCGT